TATTTTCAAAGCACCTAAAACAAGGTAAACAAATGAAACTGCCTGTGACTTCTTTGTAAATTACAGTCTTATTATCTGTGCCTCTTAATTTATATAACAAGTCTCAGAAATGTGATTAATGGGAACTGGAGGTGTGTCTCAAGTAAAGTGGTAGAGTCTACTTTGCAAGAGTGAAGCTCTGCAGCAAATAGTCCTACCAAAGTAAATAAATAAAAGAAGTGATTCATGGACTTCCCAAGCACAATTACAGAAAGGCGAATATCATGACCACAACTCATACATTTCTAATTTAAAAAACAAAATATATATTCTTTTCCATTTTAAACTTGAGTGCTTTTTACGAAAAATTTAAAAATCTCTGTCTTGTATACTCAGTCACTGATTTCTTTCTCTCTCTTGCCAAGAGGGACCTGAGCCAGATAAGGAACCAGAGGGTCTGTCCCCAGCTTTGTAGGCCTATCAGTGATGTGTGCCATAGGCCGGGAATGCTTTGGATATGTTACCTGGAAGTTATTCACACAAAATTCCATCACATGGAAGTGTAAAATAAAGCAACCATATCCTTATTCAAATGAATACCAACATGGTTAATAAAAACTTGGAATATTTTTATATAATACTCGTTAGTACCAATCAGGGACAGCTAACTTGTTTCTCCTGTTTAAGAAACAAGGACCTGACCCCTGCCTTTCTGATCTAGTTTGTGGGTCTATGAGCACTGATGTGTCGCACTAGGCCTAGATGGGCCTCACTGCACATCTAGGGAGGAAGAAAACCCTGGGAAGAAAGTGAGGATGGCAGAAGTCAGCAGGCCGGAAGTTCAGGATGTTCTAGAAACCTCTAGAATCGCCTGCAATCCTCCCCCTACTGCCACCATTCTGTCATTACTTTGCATATACAAGTGATGAATGTGGAAAACTAGGGAGATGAAGAAAAGCACAAAGAAGCAAGTAAAAAATCACTTATCAGGCTGGGCCTATAGCTCATGGGTGAACACTTGCCTAGCATGTGCAAGGCCCTGGGTTGGTCCCCAGCACCAAAAAAAAAAAATCACTTGACTCCTTTACCCAAGGGTAACCTCTGTGAATATGTGGTGCAAATCCTTTATTGTTATTTTCTGTTTGCATAGCTATATATAAATATATTTTAAACAAAAATGGGCTTGCATTCTGTACATAATAGTTTGTAACCTGCTTTTTCACTTAAGCATGTGTTTTTAAACACACCATTTATAGATTCTTTGTATGCCAAGTGAGCTGATCACTACTTACAAGATATAGTCAGGACTTGAGTCCCACACACTGCCTGAGAGGGCTTGCTACTCACTGGGCATTGTGCTAAACAGTTAATATGCCTGTGTCCTTTCCTTACAACCACCCTGGGAAGAAGATACTACTTTCACTCTCTAGGTGAGGCTTAGAACAGGTAAAGCAGGATCCTGGCTACAGGTTGTTGGGTTGGCTTTTGTATTTTGAAGAAGCTGGAATAGGCCTTTTGTTTTCATGGAAAAGGTTATTGTGGCAATGACCAGGAGTGACAGTGGAACACTCAGGACCATTCCTGGTGCTGGTGGTGCCTGAGTCCAGGAGTTCTGGGTGTAAGTCCAATGTCACAAGTCACCCCTTCCAGGGTTTGGTAGGAAGAAACAACAGGTTGTTAAGGAAGGTAAAAGGGGAAGAAAAGGGGAAGATCAGCTAGGACTGCAATGACATAGTCTCATGACCCATTATCTTAGAACTAGAGTACAGACTTTAACTTAACTCTCTTGTTTTGCAAATGAGGAACTGGACCCAGATGGGTATGTCTAAATTCGCTGCTGGCAATTGAGGCAGAACAAAGACCTGGGTCTTTGGACTTCTCTCCAGGGTTTTCCCATCACGCCACCTTGCTGGTCAGGGCTTCTGAGCTGGGAAAGGGCATCTCACGAAGGTCCATGGACCTGGTGGTACTGGGTGCCATATTTTCTGCACCTTTTCAGAGGGTGCTCTGGAGGAAAAACTACTAATAAAAAACTGAAAAAATTCTCAGCTGCTATTTTTTTCCTAAATAGCAAAATATTATTTTGGGGAAATAAACAATTGAATTTATACTCCTGTGGAAGGAACATCATTAGGGTACAGGGTAGGCTGAATTTACACATGTATAAGCAAACAAGTGGCCAACTATTTTTAAAAGTCCTTACTCTGTGCAACAATTAGAGAGCTCAAATGCTGATCTTCTGAGGATGGAAGCAGGTTATTTTATTTTGCCACCTACTGAATCCTTCTATAGCACTGTCTTTTTGAACAAAATTATATGAGGCTTGATCTCCTCTGGGATGATAGAGTACACTTCCGTGGGGACTGAGTGACATGACACACAGCATTCTACAACAATCTCTTCGGTCAGAAAGGTCTTAAGAAGAAGGCCTATCACTTTCCTATAGCACTATGTCTTGGTTTCATACAATTTGCTTATTTTTATGAAATAACTCTAACAGAGACACAAGGACAAGGACTAAAAATGTCCTTGAAGGCTGCTGGACACTTTGCCAGGTGTCTTTCATTCTGCTCCCACCCCTCTCCTGAGCTGATCACTGTCCTGAATTTGGTGTTCATTTCATGTCATTTCTATATATGTTTTTGGACTATAACTGCATATGTATGAATCTATCATAATGTCATTTGCGTGTTTTCAAACTTCAAGTGCCACTCAACAAAATGTTTCTGTAACTGAGCTACAGCTCAGATAGTAATATCTGGCAGGATAGAGTCCCCCACCTCCTTCTTCAAAATAGCCATGGATAACAAGTGACACCTGAACCATGCAAATTTTATAATCAGCTGTCAAACTGCAGGAAAAGTCCTATTAGGATTTCAACTGGATTGAATGGAACTTATAAATTAAGTTAGGATTTGAATTATCCTAGTGGATAATAAATAGCTGGTGACAGAAAGACTAATTTTTTTTTTTCTTTTTTACTTTTTGAGACAGGGTTTTGCTATGTAATCCAGACTGGCTTCAAATTCAAGATCCTCCGGTCTGAGTCTCGTGAGTGCTGGGAGTTTAGACATGCACCACAACACCCAGCTCTCATTACCCTATAATGTCTGTAAGTGGGAGTCTGTTTCCCACTTATAGATTTATAAATTCCATTACTGAATATACAACATAAAGACCAAAAAAGTTCCTGGAATTTGCAAACACTTAATGCTACTCTAGATATTTATCAATCCTAAATCTGGCCAGATGCATAAATGGTGTATTGCAACATTACTCAGGAGTAGCAAAAGTAGAAGTAACTTAAATATCACTGACTTCAGTAACCAGAATAAATACACCTAGTGATAAATTGTGATGGCAACAAAGCTACTTGCTTTAAAGATTACATAGCGCTAAGTGATAAAATCAGGATAGCTATCGCTTGTATGATGTAGATACAATAACACGTGCATGGAAAATAAAATTTACTAAAATGTTTACAATAATTAGGAGTATGGGATTACAGATTAAAATTTTCACACATACATTTATTTATTTATTTGCAGTACTGGGCTTGAACTCAGGGCCTTCACCTTGAGCCACTCCACTAGGCCTATTTTTGTGAAGAGTTTTTCAAGATAGGGTATCATGGAACTATTTGTCCAGGCTGGCTTTGAAGTGCAATCTTCCTGATCTCTGCCTCTTAAGTAGCTAGGATTACAGGCGTGAGCCACCAGCGCCTGGCTTCAAACATACATTTAAATCTATTATTTAAAGTTTCTGGGTAGTGATTTTATTACCCTTATATCAAAAGAAAATATTAGGAAAACTCCACTTCTCTAAGTTAGCAATAAAGGAGCAGCAGCAGGTGCTGCTTGTACCATCAGGGTTTCCCTTCAAGTTCAAAGAGAAGAAGACCTCAGAAAGCAAAATGTTCAGAGGTTGACACTGGGGACCTGAGATCTAGCTCAATCTCTGGTTATTTTAGTAACTTCTGGGAAAAGGCATCACTTATTTTCTCAGTAGGAAAACATGAGACTTTCTTTTAAGAGAGAAAGAAGTACTGAGGGCCAGGTGTGATGGTTCATATTTGTAATCTCAGCTACTTGGGAGGCAGAGTTTGGGAAGATTGTGGTTTGAGGCCAGCCCAGGCAAAAAGTTAGTGAGACCACATCTCAACCAATAAGCTTGGCACGGTGGTAGGCTTCTGTAATCCTCACTATGTAGGAGGCATAATGAGGATAGTGGTCCAGGTCAGCCCCAGTAAAAATGTGAGACTTCATTTGAAAAATAACTAAAGCACAGAGGGCTGGAGGCCTGGCACAAGGGGTAGGGCACCTGCCTGGCAAGCACAAGGATCTGAGTTCAAACACCAGTACCCCACACACAAAAAAACAAAACACTGAGTTCTAGAGCAGCAGACAGGGGCTTCCACAAGCTTAGCTTCATTGGATTTTCTATTTGATTTTTGGCAAGTACTAGAGAGATCTCATCAGGAGGGACAACCTCATTTATCTTTCAGTGGATTTGAACTTGAAAATAGCTTTATAGTCTTAACTGCAGGTATCAGGTGGCAGCCCCTGAGGTTAGGGCAAGTTGCTGTGGACATGTCATTTCTCTGAATTTATAATTCATATGTAATGGTCAGAGGCAAGCCTGCCTAACTGCAGCACTCAAGTAATGACTGGATGTAATTAGACCAGTGGAGAATGCAGTCTATAAATATTTTAAAAGAAAATGTTTAGAGATGTGTATTAGTTAGCAAACGCAAACTTTTTTCAAATGCACAGGCATTCATTAAAACAGTTCTAAATCTAAATCATGCAAAACGAAAAGACTGCCTATTTAATTTTCTCTCAAGCATAAAGGAAAGTAAAAAGCAGGGAGTTGCTATCTGAAACTGGGGGAAGGGCTGGCAGAGTAGCTCAAGTGGTAGAGGGCCTGCCTAGCAAGTGTGAGGCTCTGAGTTCAAACCCCAGTACTGCCAAAGGAAAAAACTGGTGGGAGCTGCAGCACTGTTTCTGCAATGTGCCCTTTACCTTAAAGACGTGGAAGGCTTCAAACTGGATGTTGGGGCTTTTATCCCGCAGGAGATTCATCATGAGCTTCAAGTTCTCGGGCTTGCTGACGTACTTGGTCATAATGGCGAAGTTGTGGCGGTCCAGGATCAGCTCACCTAGCAGCTACAAGAAAACACAAGTCCAGCCATTATTGGCCTCACAGTCACCTCATCATGCAAATGCAGCTCAATTTTTCTCATCAAAGAACAAAATATCAATGCAAGCTGGTACCAGGAAAAATAGAAGAGTTGGTTAGGGCATCTTAAAAAGCTGGGTGTGGTGGTCCTCACCTGTGGTTCCAGCTACTTGGTAGACTGAGGCAAGAGGAGTTTGAGGCCAGCCTAGGCAACACAGTGAGACCCATCTCAAAGAAAAAAGCCCAAGTGGTGGCTCACGTCTGTAATCCCAGATACTCAGGAGGCAGAGATGGAGAGGATCAGGGTTCAAGGTAAACCCAAGCAAAAACTTAGTGTGAGCCCATCTTAACAAATAAATTGGGCATGGTGTCATACATGCAGTCTCAGCTACATGGGAACCTGTAGGTTGGAGAATCCAAGTCTGAGGCCAGTTCCTAGGCAAAAACTTGAGATCTTATCCAAAAAAACAAAAAACAAAAAAACCAGCTGCAAAAAGGGGCTGGGAGCATGGCTCAAGTGGAAGAACACCTGCCTAGCAAGCATGAGGCCCTGAGTTTGAACCTTAAACTTCTAAAACATAAAAACCCAAAACAAAAAGAAAACAGCAAAGAGTCACTGTTATTCACATGGTTTTTCTAATGTCAGTAATAATTTATTTTCATCACTTATTTTATTTATTATATGATTTTTGAAAAATGTCCAGTGCTTCCTGTCAGACTTAATTCTGTAACTCTCAATTGGCTGGTGAGGCTAATAGGGATACTTCTTGTCTAATTTGATTTCTGGGAAGACATTATTCAAGTCCTCAGAACTCATTTGAAAGGAAGTCTGTTCTTCACTTTCTCCTGCTGTTTCCCATAGTCCTTGAACCTGACCTCTGATAGTGACACGCACTCAGCAACTCAACAAATTTTCACATCCTCCATTTCTTCAGCATCCACTGGGGCAGTACCCTTATTCTCTCTGCATAAAACTTCTTTGCAAAGTCACTTCAAGCCTGCCTTGGCCACACTGGTTTTGTAGTGAGCCCAAATTGGTGGTTTCTCAGGCAGAGTAGCCAACCTGGAGCTGAGATCTCATTCCATGACTTCTGGGAGTTGGCAAGGGTCTTCTGGTATCAGGGTGTGAGCTTCCCAAAAGCCACCAGTCAATGGTTTTTAGAGCAAGCGTGCCTCCAACCATCATGGGTCTTTCACATACCCTGGGCAGAGCACGGTCATCACTCGCTTTCATTATCTTGCTTCTCATTAACAAAATGGACTCTACAATCCCTGAATTAATGTAGTGCATTTGACTTGTACTTTCCCTTGACTTTTGTTATAAAACCCGATCTAAAGCCAGAAAAAAAAAATTCATTAACTCTCAATCCATGCTGAGCTTTTTAAGTGCAGGAAGTTTTTGTTAAAAAGTAAAGCAAAACATCTTATGGTGATCAATTCATAGCTCCCCCAAAGCAACATCACTCTAAAACAAAATTAAAATACCCAGAGTGAAATAGCTGAGAGTCTGCATTCAGTTCTGAGAAACTGGTTCTCATTGCAGGGGTAGCAATTCTGCTGAAATGCACTCTCACATAATCTTACAGGTAAGATACACTTCTCTTCCAAGTGTCTGTTCACCGGACTTCTCCTGGAAGCCTCAGGACAATAATACATTGCATGAACGGCTAGAGAAATCCTGGATGGGAGAAGGAAGTACAGTGGGTGGGGGTAAGCTGTGTATCACAGCAGAATCCCAGACGTGCGTATGCAGGTGCGCGTGCATGCACGTGCATATTTTTGTCAGTAAACAACTATCCTGCCTATGATGCATCTTTTACCTATTTAACAAATAAGAACTACACATGTGAAAGTTATTTTAGTGCATGAAAATAATGTTTGTAAAACCTGAAAAAAGGATGAGCACTATTGGATGTTAGCAGGTCACTAGCTATTCTCATACATACGGTAATGTGTAATGCAATTGCTAGTCTTCATTCTCTTTAATGGCCGTGCAGCACCTACACTAACCGAACACTTCTGGTTTCTCTCCTCTTGCAGCTTCCTCCTTTGTGCCTCTTTCACTGGTTCTCCTTCCTCTGCACTATGTGTGTGTGAAGTGTCCAAGCTGTACACCTTTCCCTCCCACAGTCTCATCTACATTCATGGCGCAACTAGGACACGGAGAAGATGCCTCCCAAATCCACACTTCTAGTCTCAACTTCAGTCTGCCCACGACACAGTCCCTCCTGGACAGCTTGCTGGTCCATGACCCTTAGCACCTCTAAAGCCAATTTCTTTTTTCTCGTTGATGACAGAGACCTGCCAATCCCCTATGGCAGAAATCTGAAATTTTCCTCAGTTCCTTTTTTCCCCCTTACTCCTCACATCAACTCGATGTCCAGGACTGCCAATTCTCTGATTTCCACTGTTCCTGAACATCCTCTGTTACGCTTTTACTGCCAGCTTCCTTATTCAAACCCTCACTGCCTTTCATCTGGACAAACCCAACAGCATGCAGTGCTCTCCCCAGTCCTCGCCAGTATTGTCCACTCTGCACGTTATGCCTAAGGCATCTTCCTGAAAACCAGCTGCACATGCTACTTACTAACTCCACTTATAATGTAAATGAATAAACACATTTCTAGATTTCCATGAATTTAGTGGAAAAATCCAACACCTTTGGATGGCTTTCAAAGCCCTTGGGGACTGGGACTCATTTCTCCTGCTTCCTTCTTTTCCTTGGTTCCCTGGCTCTGTTTTCCTCTTCTTCTGCCTCTGTGGTTCTCTCCCCTTGTTCCAATTCGAGAAAGGCCTCATCTCCTGTCTACCTGTCCAAACCATCCCCACCTTCCAGGACCAGCTGGAAAGCTGTGTTAAGGGAGCCCCACTTCTTCTCCCGCTGTCTCCTCCCTTACCTGCCTCTGTGTTCCCTGTTCCGGTGTGCACTCACCTTGTGTCACAGTGCAGTTATTCGCACACTGGCCTAGATGTACATTCCATTAGGACATAGTCCAAACCTGTCTCATGTCTGTGCCCCTTACATCTTCACTGTGATGAATGTGCATGTTGTTGGGGAATTAGGGTCCTCTTGCAGGACCAGAACTGAGATAGTGATCAACCAAGCCACACTTTTTTATTAAGCCTCAAGCTCATGTCTGTATCCCAAAGATGAGCAAAGTGTTTACTTTGTCTCTTACCTGGGTGCCCAAGCCATGTAATAAATCTCCTTTCTTTGCCCTTCACCACTGTTCATCTCTTTATTTGGCATAGCAATAGGGATGAGTGACAGGAAACCTGACATGTAGAACCTGTGAAGTTGGGCCTATGGCCTAGAACTCCCGGTTACACTAATATTTGCAATGATAAAACCCACAGCATTCCATTCTAATATAAAGCATTATAAAGCAGTACTGCTAGGTACATGGAAAAAAAATCCACATTTTATCTATTTAAATTTCATATTTTATATGCCTCACAGTAGTAGTAGTAAAACCACAAGTAGAACTAAGAGGTTTAAAAAAAGAGAAAACTTAATGTTTTAATGAGATTGACCAAAGCCAAAAAATTCATCCAAGTTTCTTTTGAATTATAATCTTGAATTAAATGCCAGGTCACTGCAGAAGATAAGAAATAAATTCCTAAGATATGTCACATGAGGGAAAAGAATTTCTCTGTTAATTACTCTTTATTGACACCAGGAATAAGACCAACACCGTCTATGAAAATTTAAAATATGATTAACAAAAGATAGCAGGTAGCAATACTTTGGAATAAGAAAATAGCCTAGTACTTCAACCACTTTATGACTTGCAAAGTTATTTACTATTATAGTAACCTAACCACTCTTATCTCCTATAATTACAAGACATCTACCTGAAAAATCTTACAGGATGCATGCAGTTATGTCAGAATAGAATCTACTGCTATCACAGGTCTGATTTCAATAGAAAAAAAACAAAACTGCATCAACAGAGTACTCTGAAACAACATTTTGCTATCAGAAAAAACAGTAAGCAACATTTAGTCTGCTTGATGTTTACAAGTGAACCCATTTCACACTGTCCTACCTTTTTCTTCCCTTGAATAGGGTATAAGACCATTTTAGCAACATCTCTGCCTATAATTCAGCATTTAAAAAAGTCAACTTGGTTGGGCATGGTGGCTCACACCTGGAATTCTAGCTACTCAAGGTATCAAGGAGGATCTCAGTTTAAGGCCAACCTGGACAAAAACTTTGCAAGACTCCATCCCAATCATAAAAAGCTGGGTGTGGTGGCATGCACCTGTCAGCCCTACTACACTAGGAGCATAAATAGGATCACAGTCCAGGCTGACCTGGGTATAAACTCAAGATTCTATTAAAAAAAATAACTAAAGCAAGAAGGGCTGGGGGCCTGGCTCATGTGGTAGAGTACCTGCCTAGCTAGTGCAAGGCCCTTGAGTTCAAACCCCAGGACAAACAAAAAGCAAAACAAATAAAATTTTCTTTACCTATGCTTTCTCTCTCTCTCTCTCTCTCTCTCTCTGTCTCTCTCTCTCTTTCTCTCTTCACTACACAACCAGTACTCAGCTTTAACATGCTGTAAATCAAATACGTATGAGACATCTAACTGTAAAGGAGTCTGGGCAGGAAAAGCAGCCAGTGCGGTAGTTCTGGGTGGATAACTACAGAACAGGAAAGATCCCTCTGGAGGGACTGAGGCAGCTATAAGTAAGTAGGAAACACAACCAGTTTGGAGAGAGAGCATTTCAAGGACTTTCAGTACCAGGTTCAAGGGTCTGGATCTGCTCCGGATCTGGAGCTAGAGAATCACAATTAAGGGAAGGGAGGTCAGATGATGGAGCCAGCTCTAGAGGGCAGATAGCAGTAAGGGAGGAGTCTTCACTTCCCTTTGCTACTCTTCAAGTTTGTATGACACTGTACCAGTCACACTCTCACTGGCTTCTGTTTCTAAATGCAAATGCATGCTGGTAGGAACCAATGTCACTGATACCCCATGTCCATGAACACATCAATCCTTTCCAGCGTCTGAAGTCTGGGGATAAAGCATCTTGATATAATGACGGCATATTTACTTTGTAGAACTTGGTGTGATTTATTGAACAAATGTCTATAGTTCTGGGCTAGGAAAGTGGCCTAGTGGTAGGATGCCTGTTTAACATGGATGAGGCTGTGGGTTCCACCTCCAGCACCACAAAACAAACAACAGCAAACAAACAGATGAAGAATTGAATAAATAAAAGGTCTACAGTTCTTACCATGAGCAAGTTTCTGCTCTAACCACTTTACAGATATGAATGGGGGAAGACAGCAAGGTAAGGTGAAGACAGCCAGAGAAGAGACTGAGAGCACCAGGGAGATGACAGGACAGTGAGAAAGAAAATGCAGGATGAGGACCCAGGAGGGAGATGATGGTGGCTTTGTGACTTTGCCTAACTTCCTGGAGACAATCGTAGCAAAAACTCTGTGAAAGTTCTTGACACTGCTGAAAATGGTAAAAGGGTAAATTCTAAAGAATGTGGCGTCACCTTCTCCCCTCCCAATTTGGTTCAGTCCTCATAGTTCTCTCTACTTTGGTCCAGTATCTGACAGACTCACAACGAAAAGAGTGAGGACTTGGAAAATTTGTAAGTCCTTTCTTATATGCTGGCTCTTTAGACACTGTCACCTCTGTTTACTAGTCCACTTGGCACCCCTCCTCCAGGATATATTTCTGTCTGTCCGTCTCTGTCTGAGGCAGGGTTTCACTATGTAGCCCAGGCTAGCCTGGAACACTCAATCCTCCTGCCACAGCCTTCCAAGAATTGGGATTACAGGCATGCACAACCATACCCAGATCACTGTCTTCTAACACAGACTCTCTTGTTCTGGCTGTCCTTACGGGCCCTTCAAAAGAATTCCATTCTGTAGCAGTCAGCTGAGGCAAGAAGATGCACCCTTACCGTAGTCTTCTCTTAGCATATTATCTGGATGTGAGAGGGTATGGTACTGGGGCCACTGCCTCTGCCAGGAGGTCAGTTCCATGCACAGCACTTACTATTACAAGCTCAGCACTGTCAGCAGCACCTGCTTCTTTAGCCAGTCACCTTGTGTGGGTTTCTACGCAAAGGGGAATTTCAATAAAGAGTGCTGACTGACAGGCTAAAACTGACCTGATGGTTAAGGGCTGAAGCTGGAACAGCTGGGTACAAACACATGGGAAAGTAGGTCATGGCTAAGGTGAAATCATGGATAAAGTAAATGCTAAAAAATGTGGCACAAAACAGATTTAATTTATTGTCTTAGCTTAAAATTGTATTTGATATTTAGAAATAAATTCACTGTCTTATGAATGACATCATCCTAATGTAAAAATACAAATGTGCTATTTAGCAAGCTGGAAGATCTTTCAAATTGCTTCACTAAAAACAACCACTAGTATTATCTTCCAGAAACATTCTTTTGACTATAGGAGAGTGATCTGAAGGGCAGTGGTGCAGCTCTAGCCCATGTCCCACCCTTCTGGTACTTGGTCATCTCCCTTGGCCAAATGGCTATCTTTCCATTCACTAAAGAGAGCAGACAACTCAGGGACACAAGTGGCTTTACTGTGTTGGGCTCCCTGGCATTTCCACTGACATTTCATAGGAGACATGAATTCAAAGAGCAAATGCCATTTAGTTTCACACACACACACACACACAGTTATTCAGTTTTAATTTTTCACACATTTAGGGCTCTATTCATAAGTCAACTTATTGGACACACCTTGCTACCACTTCAGCTACCTTGAAATATACACACACTATTCCCTCAGTAACTATTTTCTTTTCAGCTCTAAAAAAAATTCCCTAGGTTAGAGTTGTGGTTCTAATTAAGTTAGCTTATATTTGGTCTCCTTTCTTAGCAGAAATATTCCAAAGTCTATTTTAACATGTCCCCTTACCCTGTTTAACTTTTCTTCTTCTTTTTCTTATTGTAGTACTAGGGATTGAACCAGGACCTTTGCTTTGCTATACTACCACTTAAGCCATGCCCCCAGCTCTTTTGTTTGTATTTTGTTTTTGAGATAAAGTTTCAGCTAATTGCCTGGGCTGATCTTGAACTCAAGATCTTTCTCCCTCTGTCTCCCAAGTATCTGGGATTAAGTTGTGTGCTACCACTCCAGGCTTAACTTTTCTTTTTAATACTTAAAGCCACTTGAAAATCATGTATGCATTTGTCTATGTCTGCTCTCCTCTAAAAGAATGTGAGGTACACAGAGGTGGTTCTGGCTGCCACCAAAATGCTGAGCACATTTGCAGGTAAATATCTGTTGACTAAATGAATATCCTGTCACCTTCCACACATGTCCTCTCCAACAGTTCACCCAACTAAGCTACTGTGGATAACTGGGAGTTGATTTTGTCTTTTTTCCTCTATAGCTTTTAACTTCCTTCCAGATTAAGTATAATCCTGGCAATTTTGTAGTCTTCTCACATCAATGTGTTAGACTGTATGATTTTGGTGGTGTTGGGGATTGAACCCAAGGCCTTGTGCATGCTGGCCAGTGCTCTCTCTGTAAGCCATACCCCTAATCCACTAGTCCAGCTGACTTTTTGAAACTATTCTTTTAATTCTTAAGAGAATAACCATGTTTCATATTGCTGAGTCTTTGTTATAAATCTAATTTGAGGGCTGGGGACATGGCTCAAGTGGAACAGTGCCTGTCTAGCAAGTGCTAGGCCCTGAGCTGAAATCCCAATACTGCCCAAACCAAAAAAGCAATTTAGATAGGTAAATGTAATTTGACCATGTGGTATTCAATAGTAAAGGTATTTAAAACAACCTATAGTAGTAAACATGAGCTGACTAAAGTGCTCAGAGGATAGGACTTAGCAATGAAATGTGATAAAAAAAGAATGTTATGAATCTGGGAGATAAATGCTTCTTCTAAAAACAGGAGTTCCATAACATTACCACTCTATGGAAACACCATTTCATAGTAAATAGCTGTTTGCCCGTTCAAAAAATAAGGTATTAAGAACTTAACAGTCATGAGTTTATAACTCAGAGGGAAATTAAAATTTTTGCATTGTATGTGGCTTTTTTTTTTTTTTTGGGCAGTTTGAACTTTGGGCCTTGCACTTGCTAAGCAAGTGCTTTACCACTTGACCATGCCCCCAGTCCTGTATATGGCAGATTTTGTCACTATAACTGTTTTCTCTTCCCTTCTCTGTTAAACAACCAAGTCTAGTTTAGAGAAAGATGTAGGAGAGATTCAGGATCATTTCTTTCTGCCTCAAGATACACTGAAGAGGGTTACAAGTGTCTTTCTGTCTTCCCCCTCACAGTCACTCACGTCTTCACTCCAAGTAGTTTCTTTTCATCTCTCAAAACACCCCTCAGAAGACAAATGTGGGTCAGCTGAAGTTAGCTTAGGTTTGTGTTCTTCCCAAGTAGAAATATTCCAAATTCTGAATTAACATGTACTTATTATTTATATTGTTACTTTCAAAAAGTAAAGAGAAGCAGTACACTAGTATTATTTTGCCACGAGGTATAGTCAAAATATAAAACATACTTCTCAAGTTACAAGAAAATGGATACTTTAATTTTTCTGTATTAACTTGTTCACTAACAGATATCATTTGCTAAGAAGCTGTCAACTTACAGGAACTTAAAGACATTTGATATTACCTTTAAAGACTGTCTCTTAGTCACATAATTCTCAGACTGAAGCAGTTTCTCATAGTCTTCAAAAATCTAATGGAAGAAAATAAAAGAGTATAAAAGCAGCAGTGTTCTCTGCATAAACTCCCTTCCTTTGTTCTTCAGAAAGCACCTATGCTTTGTGCTCGTATCCTTAGCCTTAGGCTGCTCAGCACTCTTGGTGCACAGGAAGATTCTGCAGGACAAGGAAGCCAAGGGGCACAGGGGACATATTGTTCTATTTTGTTTTAGCTCTGCAAATTAGAAATTGAGTCAAAAGACAAGTCTTCCCAATAAGTCATTTTGATAAAACATTTATTAAAAGTTGCAAGATATAGAGGAGAATGATGGAAGGGGAATTCAACTATGATATATTGTAAGAACTTTTGTAAATGTCTCATTGTACCCCCAATAGAATAATATAATACAAAACTAAAAATTAAAAAAATATAATAAAAAATGATATAATAAAAAATAATAATAAATAAAATAATAAAACTATAGCCTGGTAGCAATGGGCCCACAAACAATTAGGGGAAGATTAAATACACTTGGGGCTTTGTTTGGCAACGCATAAAGGATCAAACTGTCAAAAACCATAGTGTGAATGGGTGAGGTATGAGGTGACCTTTGCAGCATGGCTTCTCTGGATCAGTTCTACTCTGACCAGAAGCTACGGACACTGGTACATGGCATCCTCCTGTGTCCTGCCTAGTGTGGTCATCAATCATGGTCTAAATCCTTTAGTTTAACTCAGAGCACAGCAGCTGGGGAAGCTTGGCATCTCCAGCCAAGTGAGGGCACACTGCTCTGAGAGCCCTGGCTGGAAAGCAAGAGAGCTCAGACACAGGGGGACGTTATGGTTTGCATATGAAGTGTCCTCCGAAAGGCTCATGTGTTGACCCAGCTTGTGGCATTATTGAGAGGTAAGTGAATCAAGAGGTCTCTAACATTATCAATAATCCCTGATAAATTCATAGCTGAATGGTCTACTAGGAGGTAGGGCCTGATTAGGGGAAGTTGGGTACGTTTTTGAAGGATATAGCTTATACCTGACCTTTCTTCTTTCTGCCTGATTCCTAGCTTCCATGAAGTGAGCAGTTTTCTCCCACCATGCCCTCCAGCGTGGTATTTTGCCCCACCAAAGGCCCGGAAGCACAGAACCAAGTGACCAAGGACTGAAGCCTAAAATCACGAGCCAAAGTAACTTTTTCCTCCTTTAAATTGTTCCTTTTGGGTATTTTTGTTCTCTGCCTATGGATAGAGCAGTCACTGGCTGCTTCTGTAGAAAACCAGAGCACCTTGGAGTAAGCCCCCAGCAATGAAAAGGTAACAAACACGACATGGGAATGTAAATAATAGTAAGATTGATTAACACATGGCCAAATCCCTAAAATTCCATAAAAAATAAATTCAGCTGTTGTGGCCTGAATTTTCCATAAACATACAGGGATATAGTTGAATATGGTTGATTTCACTAACAGATGATAAATAGGGAAGACTGTTCAAAGATCTAAGAGTGAGGAAGAGAGTGAGACAGAGCATTCCAACTCTCCCTAGGGCCCTGGGGCAGGGCTTATAAGTATGTTGAACATTGTCAAATGTTGTTATGCACTGTTAAATACTGCAGAGAATGTTACTTTCTGTTGAGCTTTCTTTACACCTTTATTGTAAGCGCTCTTGGTTTTTTGGGGTTTTTTGTTTTTGTGGACTGTGAAATCACCTGGGCGGTTAAGGCCTTTGAATGGCAATGAACAGATGCTTCCCTTGTATTTACAAGCCTGGAGTGGGGAACTGTCACCTGACTAGCCCCTTCTTTGGCAAGCAGTCAGACTGCCACTCATAGCATAGCAGCATGACTGTTTTAGACACTGTACTGTCACTGTGAGAACACTCCACTTGTCAAAACCACTACAACTGAAGCTATGATTCCTTCAGGGGACCTTGCTCAAGTCATAACTACTCCAGACAACATGCACCCGCTTGGGAAAGCAGCATCCCCTGTAAGACAAGCCTCAGTGAACTTTAGACTTCCCTGCAGTCATTCTCTCAAGATGGGAGGGGAAGACCTCCTTAGTAACTCAGCAAGAAACCAGTGACTGGTAGAATGGAAACAGTGCTATGATTGGTGCAAATTATTTGCATGTCACACCCATGACAAACACACTTTCCTGGCAATATAACCAGGCTGTTCATTCAGCTCATTTTTTAAGTCAGTTGGGAGGCACTGTAACATAAGACACAATAAAAGACTTCTCCCTAATAGTCCTTCTTTGTCTTGTGATTTTTACCATAACTAGATTGGGCTGAGCTAGAAGAACCACAGCGGAGTGGTGGCAGCAGCAATAACAAAGATATGAAGAGTGGTGGATTATTGCTATTATTAGCTGCTGCTTAGAGCTGAGAAGTATTAGCTGCTGAGTGCCGGGTTACTGGCAATCAGAACCAAAGCAGTAAGCTTCTAACCAGAGAGTTAGAGCTATAAGCTATAAGTCTGGAGCTCTTAGGGTTTGTAGCTACAAGCCTCCAGCACTCAAGGCCCAGGACAACCAATACCAAAATAATTGTTCCTGGACCTATCCATAATTTCCATTCCTGAACAGACCCCAGATAGCTCATTAGTAATGAAAGGAAGAGACAGGAAAGAGGTAAAGTCTTAAAAATGATTTCTACTTACAGTGTCATAATTTTGTTCTAAGAAGTCTGCTACCAACACTTTATGTCTAGTTAGTAAATCCTAGAGAGAGAACAGCAAGTGAAACAAAATTATTATGGCTAGTAAAATTTTACAATTAATTAAAATTTAAGCTTAATCTTTTTCTTCTAAGGTTTAATAAATCCATTTATTTGAAACATGTAAAGTTTCAAAAGAACATTTTCATTTACACCACAAAATTACTTCTATCCTGCTGTAGTTTAAGATGTGAAGTATTAGTTTGTTTCACATTAAAAACAACAAAACACCTACTATTAAATCAATAGTTCCAAATTTATAATATTGTTAGATATTTAATAGGAATAATTTAACTGGTAAAACATGAACATAAAAGATGAATTTTAGCATATTTCTTAACATTAACTCTACAATGTGATTATAATAAAAATTCAAATAAAATTTTTGATATTTTTCAAATGTCATAATAACTTAAAAATTTTTTTTACTGGTACTGGGGTTTGAACTCAGACCCCCCTCTTTTTTTTTTGAAATAGGGTCTTGCTCAGGTTAGTCTGAAACACTTGAGCTCAAACAATTTTTCTACTTCAGCTTGAGTTCAACAATTTTTCAGCTTCTAGAGCTCTGGAATATAGGTGCATACCACTGTGCCTGGCTCTAACCATTTTTTTTCCTTGGTACTGGGGTTAGGCAGGCACTTTACCACTTGAGTCACACTCTCAGCCATTCTTTCTTTAGTTATTTTTCAGGTAGGGGTCTCACATTTTTCTGCCTAGGTTGGCCTGCACTGTGATTCTCCTGTTTATGTCTCCTACTTATGAACTGGGACAACAGGCGGACTCAACCAAGCCCAGCTTCTTTTGGTGAGATGAAGTCTCGCTAATTTCGCTGGGTTCAGCCTTGAACCATGAGCCACTGAGCCTGGCTATGTTTTTTTTTTTTTTTTTTGGTGGTACTGGGGGTTAAATTCAGGGTCTTGTGCTTGCCAGGCAGGAGTTCTACTGTTTTAGACCCGTCCTGTCTTTTTGGTGTCAGTTGTTTTGTGATAGAGCCACACTTTATGCCCGTGCTAGTCTGGACTCTGATCCTATTTGTGGTTCCTATAGGTGGGATGATAGGCGCACACCACCACACCCAGCCATTGGATGAGTTGGGATCTCATGAACTTTTCCCAGCCTGGCCTTGAGCCTGGTCCTCTCCATTTCAGCCTCCTAAGTAAATAACTATGATTATAGTCTTGAGCCATTGTTTTTAGGAGGGGGGTGTGTTCTGGAGTTTGAACTCAGTGCTTCATGCTTGCTAGGTAGGTGCTCTACCATTTGAGTCGCTCTGCCAGCCATTGAGCCATGTTTTTAAAACAAGAATGCTCAATGGCATAAACCCTTATCTCAAAAATGAATTTAGCAGATCCTCAAGGGTTTTAACCTTCCATTATTTTCCTAACAACTTTTTTTTTTCCTAACAATGTTTAAATGGAAGTGATTTCAACCTTGGAACCACAGGAGCGACATTTAACAGTGTCATCTCAGCACTGTCCTGCACTCTGGTGAATGGACCATCAGGCTTAGCGCTAAGTAGCACAAAGCATCCTTTCATAGTGGAGAGAATCGTTTCTATCTTATTGTAGATATGAACTTGCAGAAAACTGTACAAAAGCATGAAGGAACTTTTGGCTGTCTTCTGTTCACACCTAAGTAATATCCTTATTTCACCTTAATGTTGAAAGAAAATAAGCCTCACCTAATCCCTTTTAAGTACTTAGAGGTTAAATACCTTGCTCAGGTACTGTGCAGAATTTAATTAAGAACAGGAATTTTAAGGTTTTCCAAAATAAAGTCTTATACTTTAATACATATTTAATTAAAACTTTCCAAAAGCACACAGAAGATATACAACATAACCTCACAGAGAAGAGGCAGGCAGCAGCCAGGGCAAAATGCACCATTCATTTCTATTTTAATAACAAAAAATAAAACATTTAAAGCATTTATGACCAATTTTTTTGGTATTTTATCTTATATATATATATATTTTTTTTTTTGATGGTGATGAGGTTTAAAATCAGGGCCTCACACTTGCTAGGCAGGTGCTCTACCCAGTTCTTCTTGCTTTATTTTTCAAGTAGGGTCTCCCCCCGCCACCTCCCCCCCCTTTTTTTTACTCAGGTCTGGCCTCAGACCTCAACTGTACCTATGGCCTCCCCATATACCTGGGATCTCAGGCGCTTGTGCTACCACACACTTTTTTGCCCAGCTGGCCTCAAACCACAATCCTTCCAATCTCTCTCTGCTTCTCAGGTAGCTGGGATTACACCTACTCAGCATGAGCCTGTAGTTTATTTTTTAGTTGACAAACATATTTATTGTATACAACATGGTGTTGTAAAATACATATATACTATGGAATGGCTTGTTATGGCTTAGACTATTTATTTATTGATCTATTTATTTATTTAGTGCTGGAGATCACCCCTAGCCCTTGGTCTGGATCTTGAAAGTCACCCATAGGCCATGTGTTGAAGGCTTGGTTGCCAGTCTTTGGAGCTATTGGTAGGTGGTGTAACCTTTTCTTTTGTTTCTCTTTTTTTTTAAGATGAAATTTTGCTATATTGCCCAGGTTCGTCCTGAACTCCTGGGATCAAGAGATCTTCTAAGTACCTGGGACTACAGGTGCCAACCACCATGCCTGCCTCAAGTGGTGGAAACTTTAAGAGCAGGGCCAAGTAGGAGGAAGTGAGGTCACTGGGGGTGTCCCTTTGAAGGGGTTACTAGGACAGGACTCTTCCTCTCCCTCTGCTTCTGGGACACCATGAAGTGAGCAGCTTTGTTATACTACACCTTTCCCATCAGGATTCTATCTCACCACAGGCCCAAAACAATAGAGCCAGCTGACCATGGATTGAAACCTCTGAAACTGTAAGTCAAAATAAATTTTAAGGGCTAGTAGAGTGGCTCAAGTGATAGAGCACCTGCATAGCAAGCGCAAAGCCCTGAGTTCAAACTCTAGTACAGTTGTTAATCTCAGGGATTTTGTCATACAGAAGAATAACACATGGCTCAATTAAGCTAATCAACATATGTATTACCTCACTTTTTTTTGTAGTGAGAACACTTAAAGTCTACTCTGAAATCTTCAAAATACATCATTAACTATAGTCACCATGCTGTACAATAAACCTTTCAAACTTATTTCTTCTACTTACTAGAAAGTTTGTATCCTCTGACCAACATCTCTCCATCTCCACCCCAGCACCATTTTCTGTTTCTATGAGTTCAAACTTCTTTTAGATTTCACATACAAATATCATGAGGTATTTGTCTTTCTGTGCTTGGCTTATTTTCCTTAACATAACATCCTCTGTGTTCATCCATATTGTCACAAACGATGGATTTCCTTCTTTTTATGACTGAAGAACATTCCATCATATGTATGCACCACATTTTCTTTATCTGTTTATCTGCTGATAGACACTTAGGTTGATACTGTATCTTGGCTACTGTGAATAATGCTACAACATACTGACTTTATTTTCTTTGGATATGTACTCAGGAACAGTGTTGCCGAGTCACATGGTAGGTCTTGTTTACATTCTGGTTTCCATAATGGTATACTAATTTATATTCCCACAAAGAGTGTACAAAAGATTCATTCCTTTTCTTGACATGCTTGCTAGCACTTATCTTTTTAAAATTTAAAAACAATACCTACTCTACCAGATATAAGGAGATACCTCATTGTGGATTTACAATTTTCAAGTTCAAAACCGAGGAGATCAGCCCTTCATTTCTTAGTACTATCACACAACTTGACTGACCACTGTACCTCTCTTTGAAAATGTAGTACTTTTTTTTTCTCCTGTGGAGCAGAACTGTTCTGGAACTGAAGTTTTAACTGACCATGGGGGAAACCCTCTATAGGTCCTGGCCCTTGAGCCACTCAACCAGCCCTTTTTCGAGATAGGGTCTTGTGAACTGTTTGCCCAGGCTAGCTTTGAACTGTGATCCTCCTGATCTCTGCCTCCTGAGTAGGTAGGATTACAGGCATGAGCCATGGGTTCCTGACCTGTCTGAAGTTTTGATTCAAACTAGTTCTGTATTAGGGGATCTTTGAGAGAGTAAGGCAGTTCCACAGTGTTTTGGAGGGCGCCCTATGAAGATATTTGGAACGCTTGGCTTTCAGCCACCCCTCCCTAATCTTATAGGAGCCTCTTGAGCAGCATGGGGGATTTTCTGAGCTTATGCAGGGTGGAAGGGGTTGTCATTCTGCACTGCAGCAGATGGTTGCACCAGAGCATGTGGCAGGTCAATGTTGTCTGGAAAGGTACTCACACATTAGTGTTATCCAAAAAAAGGAGTCTGGAGGGAGTTCTGTTGGGATCAGAACCTTCAAATTCCAAATCAAAGAAACTGAAATAACTTAAAAGTCTAACAGGAAAACATAAAATGGTAGCATAAAATTCTTCCAGCAAATTCATGATGGGTATAACTAATAAATGACCTGCCCTCTCTGTGAGTCTCTGTCTCACACACATATTTGCACTTGAATGCATATATAAGATATACCTTTAAATTTATGTATGGAAGTAGATGAATGAACAGAGGAATTATACATAAAGACTTATATACACATAATACTAGACAAATATAATTGCTTTTAGATCATATAACTGTGTGGGGAAAAAAATCTCATAAAACACTAGCTAGGATCCTACTCAAGAAAGAAAAAGCAGAAAATTGCAAAGAAAAAAAGGTCGAATCTTAAAGAAGTTTTTATTTAAAAAAACAGACATCAGCCCAGGGCTGTGAGGCTGATGAGCCAGTGTCAGTGCCACTTACTGAGGCCCTGCAAAGTGCTGGACGTGTGCCAAGCTCTTGACACGTTATTTCTAATCTTCACAACTCTGTAAGGCAGGGATTACTTTCTTCATTGCATAGATGAGAAAAGTTAGACTCAAAGGTTAACTAACTTGCTCAAGGACATACAGTTAATAAGGTGGCGACAAGAGGAATCAAGCTACTTCAATTACATAGATTCTTAGAGGGGATGAAGAAGGAGATGATGACTGTGAAGACTATATTGCAGACAATACCATGGGAAGAATATAAACTAATGTGAAAACATGAATGACTCATTAATGTTTGCTCAAAGGAGAAACGGTGATTTTGGAACAAAACAAAAAGATGAAGCTAAGGTTAAAAAAAAAACAAAGCCAAAATAAAACCTAACCAAGCCAATCAACCAAACAGTCCCTATGAGACCAGCTACTTAAAAACACAACAAAACCCATAGTGACTTATGGTCATTGTCACATTACATGTACCATAAACATTTTGGTAAAATTAATGTTCTCGGTACTGGCAGCATGTTAGAAAACCCTCTGTAGTTACTTAGATTTTCAAAGAATTGACTTAAGTTTAATGTAAAATGGGTTCAATTACAAATCTAAATATGTTCATTTTTGTGATTCAATATTGTTAAAAACTAAGCCAATGAATATATGACAGCAAAAAGTTATTATCAAGTATATTTTTATTCTTTTATTTATTTTCTGTGGTGCTGGGGATTGAATCCAGGGCCCCAAGAATGCTAGACAAGAGCTCTACACCCCCCAGCCCTAAGTACATTTTATTCTATTAAATATCAAAAAATCTTTGGGGGACAGATTTTTTTTTTTTTCCAAGCCAAGCTCTTTCTACATACCCCAGGCTGGCCTTCATGATTCTCCTGCCTCAGCCTCCCAAGTGCTGTACGCCACCACAGCTGGTGTTGGGGATATTTTGAAGTACACATATTTATTGTGTATCTGCTTTTCCTTTCCTTTAGAGTTTGCTCTGTTTGTAATTATGTGAAGTCTTATCTACATTTTTTTTTAAAGGCACCAACTTGTTTCCATGGCAGCAGAGAGCCATCTGATAGAAAAGGGGAAAAAAATGGAGCTATAGTATCTATTATTAGCAAACACCATGTTGGTTTTTAGGCACAGGCATTTTGCTAGAAAGAATGAAATCATCCTTTGTACTGCATGACATTCTTCATATATGATGCAGCTGCAGTGTATCTTGCCTTGGAGCCTGGATTCACCTTTTCTGAAGGTTCACTGACAACGAGAGTGCAATGTTTTGTTTTGCCAGTGAGACTAAGCTGCCGGTAAAATGGATAAGGCTTTCACAGTGGTCAAGAACATACTCTCCTTGGAGTATGTTCTCAGGCCTTGCCTCTCTTTTCCTTTCTTCCCTCACTCTTCTCTGCTCTTGCTGGTTGTCTTTTTCCTTACTGTGTATCTTTGCTTTTCCTCAAACTTCCCTCTTTTTAATCCTGCTTGTTGGGATTTAGCTTAACATGACTACAGACATCTTGGTGGTAACCACTGTCTTGCTGCCAGGTGACCTCGACACACATCCCAAGTCCTATAGGGTAAACAAAGTCATTAAGATAGTCAGCCAAGCTCCTGGACTGTTTAACTGATGTTTAACACGTTAATAGTTTTTGAGAAAGGTCAGGGGCATGCCAGTTGGTTAAAGACCACCTTCGTCCAGCTCACATATAAACCCTTCATCCTGCCTTGGGTTGCAAGAATCCTCCTCTCTGGCTGCTACTCAAGACAGGCTTCCTTAAGCCTGTAAGTTCTTAAAAATTGTCCTTTGTGCAATTCTGGATCTGTCCACCTCTCTTTGGTCTTTTGGCACTTTCCACCTTTGGTGCCTAGTTCTCATACACGAGGTCTGAGTTTTTCTGAAGCATTCTTTCTTTCCTTCTCTCTCTTGTTCTTTTCTGTGTTGCCAAGACTTTCTGGCATGGGCTCTTCCTTCCTCTCGTCTTGGCTCAGGGAGAAGCTAGGAGGCAGGCAGGTAGGACAGAGATGTGAGGAACACCTGAGCAGCTGTACCCACCCTCCCTCCAAACCCCTTCAAGCCTCCGGCTAGATGAGGTCAGCTATGCCTGACACTCTTAGGGAAGGATGATGCTTTCTACTGTAGTCTCAGATAATTTAGCATTGCTACCAAACTGTATATCTGTTTGTGACATCAAAAGAGCCACAGTTACCTGGGCTCTCCCTCCCTATAGACCACTGTACAACCAGCTGAAGCATGCCCTAGGATCTCTCCCAATATTTCCATCATTCTTAAGCTATATCCTCCCCACAGTTCTTGTCAATTCAATTTCCCCAGCTTCACTGTATTTCTTAGGATTCTCTGGATGCCCCTGTAGATTGTGTCCCAGGCAGCTCTCCAGACCTGCCTCCCCACTATGACAGCTCGCCTTTCACTCACCACTGCTCCCTCCTCATCACAGTGAGAGGATCCTTTCTGCCCATCACATGGATCACTCTCCACACCTATTTCCCCACAAGCTTTCCTCTTCTCCTTAGGTTCCTCTTCTTTCTCCCCCACTCTAATTATTTGACTCTTTCCACTTACTGACACTCTCCCATCATCACTGTATGAGCTAACATACCTCTTAATAGATTTAAGGCACCTATGAGCACAGACTGAGTAAATTCCTAGTCTGCAAATAATCGATAGCTTTTAGCACTATAAACACTGCTTTCCCCTTTCCCCACCTCTGGAGAGCTATTAAAAAGAACTATTTGCTATCCAGGTCATAGGCAACTTTCAAAATCTGTATTAGAGGATATATGGAGTATATAGTAATATTAGACCGTGAACCACGTTGACATTGTTGAAATATGTTTACGATAATATACAGGAAGTTGAATCATACATGGGTTAATAATAAAGTAAAAAAATGCTATGTATTTATTTCCAATAAAGTAGTATATTTGAAATGATGTACATGGAACAATTAAATTTCTGGAGTGCTTCTTCAAGAAATGTATCTGAATATGTACTTATTTTTTCCAAGGATGCCTTTATATTATCAGCTTATAATTTGTAGAACACCTCTTATGAAATGGCCTTTAGAACAATTTGACAGACCCGAAGAAAACTGGACTACATTTTAGTCATCTTCACATTTACTTATATCATTATAATTATTATTACTACCAAAACCAAAAACAGTTCTAGCTATGCTGACCTCCCGCCTTATACACAAACATGGATGTCAAATATCTTTTTGTTTCCAAAAGTTTTATCTACCTTATAAGACAAAGATGGTAAATTTTATGTGTATTGTACCACAATTAAAAATTTTTAGATAAAAGTTAAGTTAGATGAACTATATTTCCCATAATGACAAAGTAGTTCATAGATGGTAAGAAATATAGTGATTATAGTTACCTATACTTTCAAAATACTGACTACATATAGATGACCACTGATACCATCAAGATGCTAATATAATTTGTTAGTATTTGTTTCACCCTGTGGTGAATTTAAAAATTACACTGACAAAATAATGTGAGTACCTTCATCTTCAAAGGAGATGTAATTTTCCATCTCCTTTCCCTATCCAGTTCCTCTCTCTGGAAGTGTCTTCTGTTGCTGTTTCCTATATATCCTTCCGGAAGTATTCCACACACATATGCACTTCATCTAGCAACATGTACTCTTTTATGTGCTTTTAACATAGATGACAGAATGCTATACTCAAACTGCTATGTGTTTTGGTCACCTCACTGTATATATTACAATTCATTCTGTATGAGTTTGTGGTAAGTATTTTGCATTGTTTCCACAATGTGACAGACAGGCCTCATAGACTGCATTCTACTTACTGATTCCTCTAATGATCAACATCATGCAATCACGCCTAAGGATTAGAGTCTTTTGCTACTTAAAATTAAATTGCTTCTGCAGAGGCCAACTAACTTTAATTAAATGAACTATCTGATTCAGAAAAAAACTTTACCTTAAAAGTAGCAAAGGCATCTGAAGCAATATCAAATGTTGACAACTCCACATACTTGAAGAAATCTCTGAATTGATTAGAAAAGAGGATGATTTTGGCAAGTGGCTCATGTCGAATACATTCTCTCAGCATAATTCCACAACGTAAGGCAATCTGTGGGGCTTCATACCTGAAGCATAAACGAGGGAAACAGAGAATTCTGTTACTGCAGTAACAAAATAATATCAGTGATACCCCAAGAACCATTTCAATACTGCTGCTAATGGAAACGCAGAAGGTAATTTCATTCAATACTCACTGACTATCTGCTATGTGCCTGGCACTATTCCAGATGCTGGGGATAAAACAGTACACAGGGCAAGGTCACTGCAATCACAGCCTTCATATTTTAGTGAGGATGTATCTGGTGGAGGGAGGAGGCAGACCAATGGAAAGATAATTTCATACACTAGGAAGTGCTATTAAAACTGAGACAATAAACTGGGAAATACTATAAAATATGACTATTAATTGTTATGTGTGTTTATTTAATTTTTACTTTAGGTTGAAGGGATGGGGCAAAACCATTCCAGGCAACTGGAACAAGACAAATACAAGCTTGCTGAGTCAGAAGAGAAGCAATGCAGCCTGAGTACTCAAATGTAGAGAAGAGCAAGAGTGGTGAGACACAAGGCAAATGAGGAGGGTAGGGTAGCAACAGGTCATACTCAGTTTGATTTTTATTTTAAGCATGATGGGAAGTCTTGAGAGTTTAAAGTAATAAAATTAACACAGCCTAACTTATGCTTTTCAAAGATGATTTTGGAGCTGAGGATGTAGCTCAATTGTAGAGCTCTTGCCTAGCATGCCTGGGGCACTGGGTTCCATGCCCAGCACTAAAAAAATAAAATAAAAAGGAAAGGAGGAAGGGAGGAAAGGAAACAGGAGGGAAGGAAGGAAGAAAGGAAAGAAAGATGGCTCCTGCTATTTGTGGAAACTACTGTAAAAGACAAGGAGTGGGCTCGGGAGCTGGAGACTAGGTAGGGGCAGGAGCTTCTGCTCAACAACAGTAATGATGGCTTGGCAGGGCAGCAGCAGCAGCAGAACACAGGACCATGGGCAGTTGCTGGATACTGTCTGAAGGAAGAGCCAACAGGACTTGCTGATGTTGAAGGTGGGACTGCGGAGGGAATAAATTTGGAAACTGATGATTCAAGAATGGTTCCTATGTTTTTAGCTTGAAATACTGGGGGAATGATGCCACCATTTTTTTGCGTGGGTTTAAAACTCTTTTTATTTTATTTTAACGTATTTACGTTTCCTTACATGTGTATACACTGTGCGAACCCCACCCCTCCTTCTTCCCTCCCCCCCATTCTGGACAGAACTTGCTCCACCCTCTTGTTCTCCAATTTTGTCGAAGAAAAAGCAAAGGAGATAAGAAGACATAGTGTTTTTGCAAGTTTGAGATGAAGATGGCTATACGGAGAGATTCCTAGCATTGCTTCCACATATGTGTATTACAACCCAAATTGGCTCATCTCTACCAGACCTCTTCGCTACTTACCGGTCCTCTTTCCACAGTGGCCTCTGCCAGTTTAAGATTACTATATTCACTCCTCTACAGTGAGCACACATCAACCACATTCAAGTTTTAGGCTTCCTTTCCTTTCCCCATTTCTCCCGGGTGTGTTCACCCCTTAGCGTGTGACCTATGTCCAATAATATTACTGCATTTTTGGGGGGCCTATACTCCACATATGAGGGAGAACATGCAATTTTTGGCCTTCTGAGCTTGATGCCACCATTTATTAAGATGAATAAACTGGTAAGGAATGGGTCAGTGGAGAAATTAAGAAGACATGGCTGCTGACCATGTAAACTTTGAGATGGCTGATATCTAAGCTGTGATGTCTCCTTGCAGGAGAATATACCAATCTGGACGTCAGGAAAAAGACAGGGGAGATTTATATATAAATATGGTCTGCAAGCAACAGATGACCAGTAAAGAGCTACTGATTGATAGGCTTACTGAAATCATGAAGTGTAATTATGGTTCCTGACAAAATTACACTAGAAAAACACAGTATATGCTGAAAGGAAACAGTTTAGGACTGGCACATCAGATCTGCTTCATTTCTAATTAACAAATCTCTCAAATGTCAAATTCAAAATCCAAGTTAATCTAAGTCTGAGTTACATTCCAGTGTGTGATAAGATTTCAAGGAAATGAACAATACAAGCCCTTTACTGAAATGATACAATTGACAATTGTGTGGTAAATACAGGAAGCATAGAACAAAAGAAGATATACTTGTAAAACACTGAAATATGAGCATAGAGTAAAAAAAGAAAAAAATTCTACGTTTTTCCATCACAAAAAAAGGGCTGGTGGAGTGGCTCAAAATGAAGTCCCTAAGTTCAAACCCTAGTACCACAAAAAAATTTAAAAAAGGACCTATGTGATCTTTCGAATTCACTATGAATTCCTCAAGTTAGAAAAATACCAATATAAACAAATTTTAAAATAAAAAAGATCAATATTAATAGAAAAATCAAGTATTTGAAAGCAAAAAAACCAAACTACTCTACTTGCAATAACATTTGCTAAATATTAAAGAATAACATAATGTTCTTTATGGGAGCATAGTATTTTGCATGAAATTCAGGTTCAAGAATAAAATCTCTTTCCCACAATTTAAGAAACAGGCTACTTTACAATATTAAATTTACAAAAACAGCAGGGGAAATAGCAAACAAGGGCATCAGGGTGGAAGTCATTCATTTTTTGTCCTGTTTTGCTGGATGATATTCACAAAGATTATCTGAATGTTCCCTCAGTAGCTCATGATAACATTAAAATGCTAATATATTCAGAAAGACATTATTCTTTGTGGAGCATAAGGAATGACAATTTATACTGCTAGCAATTTCTCTTATCAAAAGAAACTGAAAATCAGCCTACTGACACCCACTGAATAGTTATAAGGTGGGATTTTATTAAAGATGCAAAGAGGAGAATGTTGAGGAGAAACACACTGTTAAGTCATTGACAGAGTATGGAAGAACTCATAAAATAAAGTTTGATGCCCTAGATAAAGAATGTAAGGGACAATTAAAATCCAGATTTATTAGTAAGAAATGTGTGGACTTTCAAAATCTAGCCCTGAGCCTGACTTCTCAGTTTCATGTCCCATCCCATTCCCATCTCCCTGGAGGACATCATTCTCTCACATGGAATGCCCTCCTATGCTTCTACCACTAAAAGGGTCTCATTTGTTAAGATTTAGTTCAAATGCCCCTTGGGTGGAAGTCTTTTCTTACATTCCTCCATACTCCCACAACAGGTTGTCTAATTTTATTTCAACACTTCTCATTCTGTACCATGTCACAACACAGTAAGTTAATATAAATCTGTTTTCCTTCACTTCAGTCCAAACAACTTAATTGCTGAGGATGCACTTTACTTATCCTGTGACTTCTTCCTCTCCTTATTCCCATTTCTGTTTGTTGTCTATGTCTTATTTATTGTTATTTTCTCCCATTCCCACCCCATTTCCAAAAAGTGCCTAACAGAATTTTTTTTTATAAAGTAGGCATATAATTAATTTAATTTAAATTCAAACTCTGACTGAATTTCTTAGTACTACAGAACTCTAATGAGAGTCAAACTCTGGCTCATACAAAAGCTGTATGATCTCTAGCCAACATCTCTCATTTCTAAATTCAGTTTCCAAACTGAGACTATCTATAAAAACTTTCCACTCCAAATTTCAGTATAATTAGTTCTCTTTTTCCTTTCATTTGGTGATGTTGATTGGAACCATCTGTGAAGCACTGACGTTTTATTCTTGAGAACTAAGAGAACATTTAAAAAAATATTCCTCTGGGGTACTTATCAATGCATTCCAGTAGTTTGTCCCCACTATTGGAAATGTCATTCTCTGACATAAAAACTTCTTAAAGTTAGGAATATACTGGGATATATAGAGAAATTCCTGTTTTTCCCCAATACCCTTTAAGGGATCTATAATTCACATACATCATTCAACCTAACTACCTTCTAGGATTTTTGATAGATTATTGCTTGCTATACAGATAAGTGCTCCATAACTTAAGTCTATCTTAAGTTTCAAGTCCCATTTACATTAATATACTTAGTTCTGGTAAAGAATCGGTATTTATTTTGCCTAATCTATTCTATTTAAGTTTCCTGATGGTACAGACCATGACTAATTGCGGTTTCCCACAATGACTAACCTATGGCAGATTGCCAATAAAAGTTAACCTGATGAGTGCTGAATCACTCTTTTATAGAATTGAATCATATCTCCCTAATCCATAATTTGGATAGTATAGTCTAGACTATAATTAACTGTGTCAGTATAGAGAAGACACACTATATATGCATGCACATTCCAACAATGACAGCATATTAGAAGATTCCTTTTATGGACTTTGATCACATGATAAAGCGAGAGCACACAAGGGAGGTATGAGGATACGTAAGACACCCAAAAAACTGCCTTCAATGCAGAGAAACTAATGCAGATACTTTAAAGCGACAGAGGCCAATAGGAGAAGGGGACCAGGAGCTAGACAAAAGGTTAGTTCAAGAAGAATTAATTTAGAAGGTAACACACATGTACAGGAAAGCAATGAGAGTCAACTCCCTGTACAGTTACCCTTATCGCAATTAGCAAAAACCCTTGGTCCTTCCTATTATTGCTTATACTCTCTCTTCAACAAAATTAGAGATAAGGGCAAAACAGTTTCTGCCTGGTAGCGAGGGGGTAGGGAGAGAGAGGGAGAGGCTAGGGGGTAAGGGAGGGGGGCGGGAGGATGGGGGGAGAAATGACCCAAACATTGTATGCACATATGAATAAAATAAATAAAAATAAAAATAAAAATATCCCTTTTAAACTTAATGAAAGCCAAAATACAAGAGCAAATGTCTTAACTAGCTGTGAGCTACAGTAATCATTACATAGAAATTGGCTAGAAGAAAGATCTTGTGCAAGAACATCTCCACTTAAGAACAAAGATTGTATTATGTAAGAGGGAAATGACTTTTGTTATTGTGGGAGCAAACAATGCTAGACAGTACTTGGAAAACTTTTATAAAATGACATTCACCAAACACTTGGCCTACTCGAGAATCAAGAAGGTCTGTTTCTAGATTCCAAGATG